TGGAACTGGAGCTATGAATGGTTGTTAGCTGCCATGTGGGTGCTGGGATTTGAACCTGGGTCTTCCACAAGAACAGCCAATGTTCTTAACCGCTGAGCCATCTCTCTACCCCCTAACTGTATATTTAAAAATAGCTTTAAGAAGGGAATTTGAATGTTCCCAACACAAAGAAATAATTAATTTTTGAGGTCAGAGATATGTTAATTACCATGATATAATAATTATCTGTTCTAAATATATATCAAAATGTCACAATGTACCCCATACATGTACAATTATTGTACACCAATTAAAACACTTAAAGATAATGTTGGGTTAATCAGTTAAAGAATGAGCTTGATGTCTTCAAATGATCTTACAGTCAAAGACTGTACATTTACCATAATGTAAAGTAGAAATGGAATCTATGAACCAAAACCAAAAGAAGCCAAATCAAATAAAAACCAAAAATAAACATGTGCTATTATGAATGCTATAATATACACATTCATTTCTGTTGGGTTAAATATTTAATAAAATGTTTTGTTGAAGAAAGCATATAGAACTGGAGAGATGATTCAGTGGTTAAGAGCACTGACTGTTCTTGCAGAGAACCCAGGTTCAAACCCCAGCACCCACATGGTAGCTAACAATCCCCAAAGAGATCATTTGTCCAGTTTCCACCAGTAGTGATGTTCTATAGAACTGTAATATATCAAAACTAGGGTACTGCTATTGATAAAATCCATCCCTTTATTCAAATTTCCCCAATTTACCTGTCATCATTTGTATGTAGAGTATATACACATCTGCATTGTGTATTAACTCCTACAGCTTCATTCCCTGTTAGCTTTAGGCGTCGATCACCACACACAAGACAGCTGAGTAGTCTGACACCACAAGAATCTCTTGTGCTGTATGGTAAGATTTAAATAATGGTCCAACTTTTCCTTGTAGGGTTTCTAAAAGAAAGAAAAACTCATATACTCACCCATCTGGCTAGGGCTTCTTTGATGGTTGTTGCTTTTGCCTTAAAAAGAAAAAAAAAAAAAGAGAAAAAGGAAGAAGAAACAAGGCTGTCTTTATTGGTGTGATTTGTTGATTCAGTTTTTGTACAATAAAATGAATTCTACCATTAAAGAATTAAATTCTTTGAGACTCTAAAACATAAAGGTGCTTAATCTGAGATCTGAGTGTATTCCTTAATACCTCTCAGGGAAAATAAGAAAATTGTTGTATAATATGCAAAAATTTCACTCCTACAAAAATGTGTAGCTTTTAACATCCAATATTAAAATAGGTCTTATTTAATTGAGTCTAAGAGCAACATATTTTTATATCTTATTAACATTGAAAAGTAAATTAACATTATAATTAGGAACAATTTACAGTTACTGTGACAAGATAGCGGTGGTAAAATTTAGAAAAATATTAACAATTTAATTTCTTTTGAGAGTTTACAAAGAATGACATAACAAAAAAACTGTATCTAAATATATGTAAAAGAATGATTAATAAAGAGCTCTACCAATATATACAAAATAAAAATTCTAAATGATAAAGTATTTTTTATAATTTAACTTCAACTTATGGTCTACATAGCGAGTTCCAGGCCAGCTAGGGCTACAGGGAGACGCTGTCTCAAAAAGACAACCCCCCCCTCCAAAAAAACTGGAATGATCAAAAGGAAGAACTTAAACTGGCACCAAATGCAGACGATGACCTATATAAAAAATCCAGTAGTATAAATAAACTACAGGGGCTGGAGAGATCGCTCAGTGGTTAAGATGGCTGCTCTTGCAGAGGACTGAGGTTTGGTTCCCAGCAACCAAATGACAGTTGACAACCATCAGTAACTCTGGTTCCAGGGGAGGCCCTCTTCTGGCCTCTGCAGGCATTGTACCACATGCAGGCAAAACACTCATACAAATAAATAAATAAATAAATAAATAAATAAATAAATAAATAAATAGCTACTAGAGCAAATGGAACTCAGCAAGTGAAGCACACCACTGACAGAGTTAAATTGGGAGAAGACTTCTTTCCAATTGAAACCAACAAAAGATTGTTAAGGCATATATAGTATATACAAAGAACTATTAAAATTCACAAGCAAAAAAAATTTAAATTAGCAAAACATGAACTAATTATTTATAGATGCCAAAACCGAAGTAACTAATGAAACTATCAAGGGTATTTGAACTCACTGAAAAAAATCAAAAGTATGGGATACTTTAAAAAATACATTTTCAAATTGGCAAAAGTTGTTGACAATGTATTAATGGGAATGTTTTTGCAATGGTGAAGGAAGTGAAAACTGCTCTACTCTTTCTGGAAAGCTGATGGCACCTAGGGAATTTAGGGTACACGGACCCTATGACTGAACACTCAACCTTGTATTTCCCAGTGAAATGCTTCTAGGGTCCATTAAAGAAAGGATGCATGAAAGTGAAAGAACACATTCACGACATTGTTGAAACAGAGTTAGAAGCAATCCAGCTATTTATTATAGTAACATAAGTTGATGTAGGTTCCTGGTTTCCTTACAGATAGTAGAAGTAAAAAACTCAAATGCCTTACAATAGATATCATTATTGGGTCAAGCTGGCCAGGTAATGACAGAGCCCACACAAAGAGGAAGATTTCTATTCTGCTCTAGACAACTGCTAGCCAGTAGAACTTGGGAAAAAGAGTTATCTGGATATCATGTTTCCTCAAATATAAAAATGCCCTGATTTCATGTGCCATTAAGAAGGAACAGATGGGGCTGGAGAGCCGACTCAGCAGTTAAGAACACTTGCTATTCCTCCAGAGGACTTGGGTTCAATTCCCAGCACCCACATAGCAGCTAAACAACCATCTGTAATTCCAGTTCCAGGGAATCCAATGCCCCTATCTGGTCTCTGTAGGGCAATGCACACATGTGGTGCACTTATATACATGCAGGCAATATACTCATACACATAAAATAGAAATAATATTTTTTAAAAGGAGGAACAGATGCCAGGCATGGTGGCATATGTTCATGATCCTAGTATTCAGTAGGCTGTGGCAGAAAGATCAAGAGTTTGAGGACAGCCAGGGCTACATAACAAGTTCAAGACCAGCCTGAACTACACAGAGAAACCCTATCTTTAAAAGAATAAAGAAAAAAATGCCATCAATTATCTAACAGTATATTTTGGTAATATTAAATGTGAAAAATAATATATCCAAAAGTGAAACATGGTATTTCTGATTTTTTTCACAGAGGCCAGAAACATGAGTGCTTTTTTTTCTAAAAAACATTTATTTATGGGGCAGGAGAGATGGCTCAGCAGTTAAGAATGTATACTGCTTTTGTAGGGAGCCAGAGTTTGGTTCCCAGTACCAACATCAGATGGTTCAAAACCACTGTAACTCCAGCTCCATGGGGATCCAATGCCTTTGGCCTTCATGAACACCTGCAGTCACATGTGTGCACATGCACATGAACAGACACACATAATTTAAAATAAATCTTTAAAAACTAAACAAAAAGACACATTTATTTGGTGTGTGTGTGTGTGTGTACACAAGGGCACATGCATGATGGTATGTGTGTGAAGGTTAGAGGACAACTTGTAAAAGTTGGTTCTCTTGATCCACAATGTGGGTCATGGGGACCAAACTGGGGTCCTCAAACTTGGTAAAAAGCATCTTTATCCATTCAGCCAGCTCATTGGCCCCAGAAACCAGAGTTTCAAAGTGAAATGCCATCTTCTTTCTTCTTCTTGGAAATTAAAACAAACAAGACATTGGAAGCTACTTCAGAAACAATTTAAATACTTTGTGGGCCTATATTTCTGGAGGGACCAGATCTATCAGCTTGCAGCCTCAGCAACCTTCATCCAACAAAGAGTTATGATTCTATATTTGAAGATTTTCAATCCCTATAGTTCATCCTTTCTAAATTATTTAGATCTGAATTTTCCTTCACCTAAATAGGTGAACCTAAAACATAAATCTAGAAACTGGGTCTTAAAATTATTTATTTTGGGGTTGGGGATTTAGCTCAGTGGTAGAGCACTTGCCTAGCAAGTGCAAGGCCCTGGGTTCGGTCCTCAACCCCAAAAAAAAAAAAAAAAAACCAAATAAATAAAAAAGACTAACAAAATAATTTTTCTTAACAATGGTTTTCAGTTAATTGTTTCTTTAAATAATAAACAAGATGTTGGTAGGGTAACTGTCTTTAAAAGAGTGGTATTATTTGGGGCTGGAGAGATGGCTCGGCAACACTGACTGTTCTTGCGGAAGACCTGGGTTCGAATCCCAGCACCCACATGGCAGCTAACAACTGTCCGTAACTCCAGTTCCAGGGGATCTGATAGCTTCTTCTGTCCTCCGTGGGCATTGCACGACACGGGTGCACTTACCTACATGGCAGGCATAACGCTCATACACATAAATTTTTTTAAAAAAGAGTGGTATTTAAGCTGAGCATGGTGGTGCACACCTCTAACTCCAACAACAGTGAGGCAGAGGCAGGGGATCTCTGTGAGATCCAGGCCAGCCTGGTCTATATAGCAAGTTCCGGGTCTAGTGGAACTACAGGGATACCTTGCCTCAAAAAAAAAAAAAAGGGGGGGGGTGGCTATCAATGTGACTCGGTGGTAAGGGTACTTGTCTAGCATGTACCAGAACATGAGTTCATCTAGTAATGTCGGGTGGGGGGGGTCGTGAGTGGAAAAAAAAGCCAGACTCAAAATAATACTATCTGATTGCATTTTACAAAACTCTAGGACACTCAAATCTCTGGTCTATAGTGAAGGAAAGCAGATCAGTGATTGCTTGGGACTGATTTGTTAGATGTACAAGGGAACCTTTCTAAGTGGTACAAATGTTTCATATATTGATTGCAGTGGTTACATATGGGTACATTTGTCAAAACTCATAAAACTACATGTGGAATATGTGCTTCATATTATGTAATATACACATAAATGAAAATTAACCAGCTAGATGTAGTGGTGTATGTTTTTAATCCAAGCACTAGGGAGGCAGAGGCAGGCAGATCTCTGTGAGATTGAGGCCAGCCTGGTCTACATAGTGAGTTCCAGGCCGGCTGGGGCTACAGGGAGACCCTGTCTCAAAAAAAAAAAAAAAAAAGACCCCACAAACAAACAAACAAAAGTGGTAATTAATGTTGTGGTTGAAGGAGTCATTACTTCATTGCTTTAATCTCCTGGGCTCAATTTCTGCAGTGATGTAGCCCTGGAAAAACACACACATACACACACACACACACACACACACACACAACTGCTAATTATACTGCTTTGTTTGTGATATTTTTTTTCTAGTGCAGTGCCTCACACATCCTAGGAAAGAGCTCTACTAGTTCCATTAGTGAGGTATACTCCTAGCACACACAGCCCACTTTTTTGGAGACAATGTCTCATTTATTCCAGACAGGCTGACCTTGAACTCTGACCCTCCCACTTTCACCTCTTCTGAGTACTGAGATTACAGGCATGTGCCACTATGCCCAGTTTATTTGGTGTGGAGACTGAACCTGTGGCTTCACACATGCTAGACAAACACTCTAACAAGTGAGTTACACCCCCAGTCCCCAATACTCATTCTTCATCAACATCTCCAATCAGCAAGACAATTGCTTTCTTTGCTAAACAGTTTTGACTGGACTGGATCTGAAACCATTTTCAAACTACTAGTTCGAAATACCAAGTAGGTAAGCAAAACAGTACACATTTTCGAGGCTGACAAAGCATCACTAGGTAAAATCATTGTTTCATAAGAACTTTGGGTAAATTTCAAGCCGAAGTCAATTGCGTTTCTCAAAATGTGGTAGGATGCTCCCCAATTTTAAAATCACTTGAAGTGCACAATCTGTATTCCAACAAGCTCATATTTATTAAGATCTGATAACACTGACCTAATATACCCATCAGAGTGTCACCTAGTAACACCACTCCCCTTCACTCCAAGGACAATCCGGGTATAGCGCAGGTATTAGACTGTGCAGCAAAGGCTACACCTACCCATCGGGAGCCAGCATCCGCCCCTTCCATCTTCATCTTTCCTCTCCGGCGAGGAGTTAAAATCACGGCTATATGACGAGGTGTCATCACAGTCCCCTGGCTATCACCTTTCCCAGTCCAATCCCCTTTTCCGAGAACTCCTAGTTCTCGGTCCTCCCTTTTCTTGGGTCAGAGTCGCTCCAGCTAAGCCCAACTTCCTGCCAGCCCCAGGCCTCCCTGGCCGCAGACCACTCGGTCCTGGGCTCCTCTCGCCCGGGCTCGGGCTCCACAGGGCCAGCATCGGCTATCGGCTCCTTTCCGCTCTTCCAGAGCTCCGTCATCGCCAACACCTCACAGTCTCCCTTTTCCACTCCCAATCTCGTCTTGGGTTTGGCTGCGAGGCCTGTAGGGTACTCACCATTCTGGCGGTTGCTACTGTCACTGCTCCGGTTGCTAGGGCCCGCCGGGGTCAGTGCGCATGCGCGCCTCTCGGAGCTCGCCGCCAAAGCCTGCCCCGGCAGTGGTCCTCTCCCTCCGCCCTTAGGGTGGCGCGAGCGAGGCATTGTGGGACGGCAGACGGCCACTCCGGGTCCTCCAGCCCTGCTCCTTTGCGCGGGTGCTAGTGTCCACCGGGAGAATTTTAACTACCGACGGAGTAGTCGGGAGATGTGCTTTCCCTACGAAACCATATTGAGCCTTGGGCTTAAAACTTTAAAAAAAAAATTTTTTTTGGTCGTTTTGAGACAGGGTCTCGCTGTAGCCCCAGCTGGCCTGGAACTCGCTATGTAGACCAGGCTAGCCTTGAACTCCCAGAGATCCTCCTGCCTCTGCCTCCCGAGTGCTGGAATTAAAGGCGTACACCACCACACCCGGCTGTAAAAGAACTTTTAAAAAGTCCCTACCCCGGAAAATTGACAAGGTCGATTAACCTGCCTACTGCAATTTGCCTTGCCATTTAATTCAGTGTGCCCAGAGTTAAATTCTGAATTTCTCGCTTCTTTACCCTAGATGCTCCAGGGAGACCTGGGACCCCTGAAATCTGAGCTGCATATTTATAGTATGACAAAATGTTGGTTTTGTGCAACTGAGACATTTTTTTTCCTCGCTTAATAAATTAGCTAAGAAAGTAAACGTGCATGTTGCTAGGGGTATGGAGAATAGAGATGCACAAATATACAGCTGTGATACAGTCCTTGGAAGACCTGTTGATACTATGTGTTTAAAAGCTTTAAAAACTTTTGTACCCTTTGTGACCAACCCAGAAGTTCTTAGAGCTTAAGAAATAGTTAATGAGGGGCTAGAGAGATGGCTCAGTGGTTAAGAACACTAGTTGTTCTTGCAGAAGACCCAGGTTCGAATCCCAGCACCCACATGGCAGCTAACAAGTATCCATAACTCCAGTCCCAGGGGATCCAAGAGCCTCTTCTGTCCTCCGCGGGCATGGCACGACACAGGTGCACGTACCCACATGCAGGCAATACATGCATACACATAAAATAATAAATATTTTAAAAATTTTCCTCCAAGTTTCTTTAGGTCATGATGTTTATCACAGCAACAGAAAGCTAGTTAGGACAATGTATGTATGTATAAGCCTTTATATTTTGGGGGAATCATCACATTTTCAAATATTTTTATCCATGAAGAAATCACAGCTGTTATGAATTCTGATTTCTTTTTAAATATTTATTACTATTATTTTTTATGTGTTTGAGTATATTGCTTGCATGTATGTAAGTGCACCTGTGTCATGTAATGTCCTCACAGATTAGAATAGGGCATCGGATCCTCTGGAACTGGAGTTATGGACAATTGTTAGCCACCAAATGGGTGCTGGGAATTGAGCCCGGGTCCTCTGCAAGAGCAGCCAGTGCTCTTAGCCACTGAGCCATCTCTCCAGTCCCATAAGTTCTGATTTCTGAATCTAATCTAGTTGCCACTGAAAACATGTGACTATTATCCCAAGAATTCTGGTTTAGAGTTATCCAATACTCCTCTTTGAAAAGTATTTGTTTAAAATGTCTATGGTCATAGTTTAGTCAACTAGTTTAAGGAACAAAACATATATCTAGTCAAAGTTTATCTGAGAATATTTGTTTTTTTTTTTTTTTTTACCCAAGCCTTAGCTACATAGTACACGATAATTAAAAACACCAGACTGGTGGAACTAACTTTATTGACTATTTAACAGCCATAGTTTGAGGCCTATACTAATATGGTCAGAGGGACTTAAAGGACAGTTTCTGCCTCTTGCCCTCCAAGGTCAACTAAGTTCCAAGGGACTATGGAACATCTCTCAAAATGTCCTGTAACTGTGGTGCGTCTCCTGTCCTCTTGTTCAGGGAGGCCATGGACACCCCATGAGATGGACTTGAACCAGTGTCCCGTCTACAAAAAGGAGGGTCAACTCAGAGGAAACATCTCAGTCATGCTTCTAAGTGAAGCCAGACATAGTCAAACAGGACCTTTGACTTATCTTCACATAGATGGAACTGATAAAAGAAATTCTTAAATTATTTATTTTTTAAAAAGTATTTGTTAGCCGGGCATGGTGGTGCACACCTTTAATCCCAGAACTCGGGAAGCAGAGGCAGATGGATCTTTGTGAGTTCAAGGCCAGCCTGGTCTACATAGTGAGTTCTAGGCCAGCTGGGGCTACAGGGAGACCCTGTCTCAAAAAGACAAAGAAAAAAAAAGTATTTGTTAAAGTCTTTCTGTCTTTGGATCTTCATACATGCACACACACACACACAAACTATTTGAATGTTAATATATAAATATGCACATATATATGTATATATATGAATGGGGATATATATATACATTTTTAGACTAATAACTCAAGTAATTTTGGCTTTCTCCATTAAACCCACCATTACACTTTAGATTTTGTGCATATCTGCACATCAACACCTGAAAAAACATAATGCCTTCTAGGAGCTTTTATCTTTCCAGGTTCAAAGGTCATTTAAAATGAGCATATAAAATAATTTAGCTTAGTTATGATACTTGGAAAGAATGATGAAATCTGTGTTTTCAGTTGCTTAAAATATGTAACAGGTTGTGTAAAACCACTTTTTTTTGAAGTTGTCCTGGGGACTCAACCTAGAGTCTTGCAAGTGCAAGGAAAATATTCTACCACTGAGCTACATCTCCAATCTTTCCCCCCCAAACTTTTTGAAAAGTCTGGATTTTACTTAGGTACCCAAATTGGCTTTGAATTAGCTTTGTAGCCCAGCAGGCTGTGAAGTTCCAATCTTCCTGCCTCAGCCTTCCAAGTGGCTGGAATTAAAGGTATGCACCTTCAATTCCAACTGTACAAATATTTTAAAATACCCAGTGGTTAACTAAAATGTATATGTGATTTTAAGATTGTCCATCAGCATTTCTCACCTAGATAGAAGTGCATCCAAAGATAGGCAGATTACCAAGAAAAGGAGAACAAGAGAGTGAATTTGGTTATATTTTCCTCTTTAAAACACTTTTATTGTTGGGCATGGTGGTACACACCTTTAATTTCATGACTCAACAGGTGGCTCTCTGAGATGGAGGCCGGCCTGGTCTACATAGCAAGTTCCAGGCCAGCTAGAGCTACATAGTGAGACCCTGTCTCAAAGCAAACAAACAGCAACAACAACAACAAAATTGCTTTTTTATCATTCTAAATCTAAACTCCCAATTTTGTTTTGGAGCCTCCATTCTGTGGCCATAATGATCCCTTAACTTTCCAGTAGTTCCCACAAGGCAGCTCTGCATTATTAGAATGCATTTCCTCAGGCTGAAAGGCAATAGAGCCAAATAGTCAATCAAGTTTGTGGAGTATGAAGATGGGCTGATTCAACTCTCCCACCCACCCAATTTTTAAAATTAAAAAAAATTGTGTGTGTGTGTGTGTGTGTGTGTCTGTGTATGTGTTATGTATGTCTGTGGACATGTGCTACAGTGGGCATGTACAGGTCAAAGGACAGTTTATGGGGTCGTTTCTCTCCTTTCACCTTTACGTGGGTTTCAGGGCTCAAACCCAGGTCGTCAGGGTTGCACTGTTGGGCAGCAAGCATCTTTACCTGCTGGATCATCTCAATAGCCCGAGACCTGTTCCCTACCTTCCTTGTTTTCAATGTTTTCATCTGAAAAAGTAACATTTAATATTTTACAGTTAAAATATGTAAGTGCTTTATGGAGACTGCCTGATTCAATCATAGCAACTTAATGAAGTATTTATTATTTTCCTCACTTTATAAAGAAATGGAGGTTTAGAGAGATTAACAATTTAAGATCACGCAGTAACTGGTGGAGCCTGGGATTTAGATGTACTATAGATACATCTTAAAGATACTACCAGGGATGGAGAGATGGTTCAGTGGTTAAGAGCTGTTGGGGACCCCTGCTGTCTAAGGTAGCAGTCTCTCCATGTCCGGATAGCTGCAGGCCGGCTCGGTGTTCTTATGCAGAGACTCCTTTTCTCAGCGGGGCGCCTTCCTACTCTCTTCCTGACTCACCTTTTGAAGTGCCCGTCACAGATACATGTCCTTCGGTATGAAACTGCCAGGTTTTCCTGTGTGATAATCAGGCACTGTCTGACAGCCTGGCAGAAGCCCACCACCACATGTAAATGGGGCATCCTACAAAGCACCTATCAACTAAGGCTTTTGCTACTGCCTCCACACTATAAATATCCTGGTTTCCCCCTAATAAATCCAAGCTGTATCTGGAGCTGAGCTGTATCACTGAATTCTGTGTCTCACTGCGCACGGAACCAGCCTGTGATACAATCTCCCCAGAGGGGGCTGTCCCTTCGTAAACAACGACTCGCGAAGATCCTGCTTTCGCCGTTCTTGCACCTCCCCTCATGACCCGGTGGCCAACGGATTGCAAAACATAGAGGGAGTGCCCGGTAGCTTGGAACGGAACTCGCCTGGAAGCGCAGTGACCCGCTGAGTTGCCAGCATCCAGTAGTCGCGGAGAGCCTCAGCAACGTGGAGAGACAGGAACCCCACCCATAAGAGCACTAACTGTTCTTGGAGAGAACCCAGGATCAATTCCCAGTACCCACATGGTGTCCAACAACTGTCAGTAACTCCAGTTCCAGGGGAATCTGACACCATCTGACCTCCACGGGCATTGTACAACACTGGTGCACTAACATGCAGGCAATTCACTCATACACATAAAATAAAAATAATTAAAAAATAATTTAAAGATGCTACCTTTTATATCACTTGATACTTATTATCACTAAGAATATATTTCTAAGCTTTGCATTTATTTTACAGATGTTATGAATTTTGTATAACTAGTTGCGTCTCTTATCCCAAAAACATCTCTACAGTAGTAGGTCTGCCTAGGAATGAGTTAAAGCAGATTCCCATGATTCACATCATAGAAAGTTATGCTACAAGATGGATGACTATACTCAAAATAGTTTTTTTGTTGTTGTTGTTGTTGTTTTTGTCTTTTTGTGACAGGGTCTCCCTGTAGCCCCAGCTGTCCTGGAACTCACTATGTAGACCAGGCTGGCCTTGAACTCACAGAGATTTGCCTGCCTCTGCCTCCTGAGTGCTGGGATTAAAGGCATGCACCATGGTTTTCTTGGCACATACAAAAGTTCTCATCGAGTCAATGGCCATTCTATTCTAACTAATGAAAAGAAAGGTTCCTTAGAGGTACTGATTCTGGTCAACTGTTAAAACCATGGAAAAATTCTTGTGCTCAGGAAGATCCTCTGCTTTGGTATCTTAGGACTATAGATAGTGTTTCAGCTACAGTAGGATGAAGCAGCTCAGTCTCCCAAGTTAGAAGGGACTAGAAACAGATGGTGCTGAGGAGAAATATGACATAGTGTGTATAACTTCATATCCAGAGTCAAAGGTTCTGGCTCACAAGTCACAGTCATGAAAATCTTGGAAGCAACAATTCTTTCCAGACAGGAAAAAACTATACAGTGACTAGAGTCCAGACAGATGGTAAACATAAAGGAAGTATATTGATAGGCACAATGCCTCCCTTCACCCTAGGGGTCAGGTGAAGTCTTGAGTAAATTTTAGGCATTATTTGTTAAGAATGAGGCAGAATCCATTTGTTGTAGGACTTGAGCAGGCAGGTTCCCAAGGCTTAGGCAAAATCAGTTAGGGGGGGTCTAGGACTTTAGAGCAATACTGAAGATCAGGTTATAGAACCAGAATGCAAGGCTGAAGATACTCCAGCAACTCAGAGTTAAGCAAGCACTTCTTACACCCTTTTACTTAAGGTATCTGATAGGTAAAAAGTTGCCACATGACAAATAGGGTTGATCAGGAGAAAGCAGTTTATTAGCAAAGGAACACATGGGACAGATTCCCTTCCGGGCAGGGAAAATGTCTACTCAGGTCATGAGCTGGGGTCTTTTTAAGCAGGGAGGCTTCTGCTTTCTGCAGAAGGCAGGAAGATGTTTTTTTTTTTTTAAGTTGTTATGGGGGGGAACAGGACTGTTAAAACCTGTTCTCTTTAGAGATCAAAGGGGAAGCCTGCTGTGTTGGCCAAACAGTTGAGAAAAGTCTGTTTCTCTTGACTTCAAAGACCAATGTGCTTATCAACTTGGTTCCCTTTTTTCAGGAGCTTGAGAAGTCCTTGAGACCCGTTGGTGAGGGGGCAGGGCTATCTGAACCTTAACAGTATCCATTAAAGTTCAGAGGAAAGAGTAGACCCAGCAATGTTGTTTTAGGAGGCTCAGAGTCCAGCAGGACCTGACAAAGAGGCTGAGCTTCCTACAGAAAACTTCCTAGGGGAATGGGGCTATAGTGCCATAAGTCAAATGCTTGCTTATCATACACAAAGCCCTGGGTTGGATCCCTGGAAATACGTAATACTAGGCATAGTGGTGCATGCCTCTAATCCCAACATGAAAGAGACAGAATCAAGAAGATCAGAACCCTAAGGTCATCTTTGGCTATATAGTACACTTGAGTCCAGTCTGGGCTACATTGAGACCCCTCCCGAAAAGAAAGCTTTCTTAGTATTTGGGAATTCAAACAGAATTTGCATGATTAGAATTTTATGAATAGTATTTGGTCTGTAATTGAAATGTTATAGTTTGCTGTGCTTGACAGGTTCTTCATCATTAAGATATTTTTGGAAGAAAGCTTGAATTTGCTGCCAGGCATCCACCTGTGCCCTTGAGTGTGCCCTTGGTTCACCTCCATAGAATACTGCTTCACCCAACAATGCATGCACAGAGGCTCTAGAAGGAGGAAAGTAAGGTGGATCAATACAGTGACCAGTTTCTGGATAGTATATTACCTGGGCTCTGTCTTTTCCATGGGCCTGTAGACGTTCACAGGCTATATGAGCATAGTAACCACTCTTCCAGTTATGATCATCCATGCCCACAATAAACAGGAAGGGTCCCTGGGCCTTTTCCAATGGAATAACACTTTGGTGATTGGGTTTCTCCAGTGGATTGTTCCAAATATCTACCAAATCCAGAAGGCCTGACTCAGTGGTTTTTTGTTTTGTTGGGTCACTGCCAAGATCAGGAACAACCATATCCTTGTAATACAGAGGAACTATTGTGTTGGCCACACAGGCATTGATAAGTACAGTGGCTGTGATGTTCTTCAGGAGAGACGCCATTGAGAGGCACAGGTCACCTCCCTTGGAGAAACCAAGAAGCCCAACACTAGGGCCTTTCACCTGATGAGGAAAGAGAGACAGAACAAGTCTAGAATCTGTAAATGGAAGGCATACAGTGATTCTGTGTTCTCTGAATAGCTATCTCAAATATAATTTTATAATTTAGTTATCTTCCTTATGTAATAATCTACAAAGTTCAAATGTGTCTGCTAATAAACAAATTTATTTCTTATATACGGGCCATCCACTAATATTTATGAATACCCAGTCAAGATTATACATAGAGGCCCTTATACCCTAAATTAATGATTAAACTGTCAAATAAATATTTTCCTATCTTGATAAATATACAAACATAACAAATTTATAAGATCAAGCCCAAATTAAAAACCTTAGACTCGGGACTGGAGAGATCGCTCAGCGGTTAAGAGCACTGACTGATCTTGCAGAAGAACTGGGTTTGATTCCCAGCACCCACATGGCAGCTACGAACCGTCCTTATCTCCGTTTCCAGGGGCAGCTGAAGCCCTCTTCTGACCTCCACAACACTGCATGACACAGGTGCACTCACATACATAGAGGCAATACATATATACGCATTAAAAAAATTAAAACCTTAAAACTCACTTGTAGCTATATATTGGAATGTAGCTTGGAGAAGAACCAACCACGGACCCCAGGCCCTGGACCCTAGCCCATCCTCCTTCTCTTTCCCTGCTCCTTGTGCACCTTGAAGGGCCTCTTAAACATGGTGTAGACATGCAGTATGTATGTTAAAGTTCTTGGTGTATATATACTGATCAAGACAGGGAAGAGGCATAGGGCTTAGAGGCAGTGTCAGAGATGCCCGGCAGAGAATTCTGGAGCTCTGGATCCTGAGGTCATGGTAGAGAGCATATAGGTTCCAGATGGACACATTTCTTTAACTCCTCAGACTCCTCACCCTGTGGCAAGGGTCCAGCCAAATGAAGGCCAAAGCATGATAATGGAAAACAAAAGATCCAGGCTACAAGCTGCTCTTTCCAGGGCTTAAAATGCAATGCATGTTGGTTTCTTATTTTTTCAGGGTCTTATCTCCTCTAAAGAAACTAACCATCACAGTGTAAGATCATCTAGATTTTTTTGCTTGTTTTGTTGTACTTTGTTTTGTTTGAGACAGGGTCTCACTATGTAGCTCTGGCAGGCATCAAACTCATAGAGATCTACCTGCCTCTGCCATCATCTCCCAAGTGTTGGGAGTGCCACCATGCTTGGCTCATCTAGGTTTTAATAACTCTGCTAAGAGACCAGTCCCTGAACTCCAATAAAGTTAAACCATCCTATAATCCTTGAAGAACATGTTATTCCTTAACCTTAGAATGCTTGATTCTCTTTAAGTCTAGATGGCAGCAAGACTTTGTATAATTTCATTTATAGTAGTAGAAAACATTTTCACTGAATTTTTCTACTATCAGAACTTTACAAAGGTATGATACTATTTATCACACTTGACAGCATAGATAAAGATTCCTTAATATCATCAAAAACATTGTTCTTATTCCAGTGTTCCAACTGTCTCAAAAATACTTTTTAGTCAAACTTTTCCCACTATCCACTTACATTAATATTATTAATGAGGAAAAAAATTAAATCGCTCAGAGGTCAACTTATTGGGGCAGTTGTGGAATGAGAATTCAAGGTTAGCATCTTCTTAGTGCAGTGCTCTTGAAATTATGGTAGTTACAGAAGGGACTAACAGTCAAGTTATAAGAGGTAGGAGAGATGGGTGGAAATAAAAATAATCCTAGAAATCTTTGTAAACTTATTTATTTGGGAAGTAGTGCCATGGTGTGTATGTGCAGGTCTGAGGACAAGTTGGTGGAATCAGTTCTCTCCTTCTACCACGTGAGTCTCAATTATCAAACTTATCTTTCTGGCCCCAATCCCAGTAACTTTTGAGGGAACTCTTGGGTCTCCCTGCATATTTCTAATCCCCACTGTCCTGGTATGGCTTTTGGCTCCAGCCCTATGTGCATCCTACCCTCCTCCTCTGTGTTCAGGTCAGCACTGGAACCCCACCTTTGGATGCTGCAGCATAAAGTCCACGGCTTCTTCAAAGTACTCCAGGTGCAAGTCACTCAAATATTCAGGGAGGTCTTCAAATCTGAAGTAAGCCAGAGCAAGCACAGCGAAACCATGCCCAGCCAAGAGGCTAGCTCTGTATTCACAAAGGCCACCACCACTTCCAAACAGATCGATGATCCCAGGGAACCGTCCCTTGCCTGTAGAACACCACAAGTCATAAAAAGCTTTAATTTCTCAAAAGATATTTGGGGTCAGGCAAGGTGATGACCATTTTAATCCCAGTGCTCAAGGCAGAGGCAGAAGGATCTCTGTGAGAAGGAAGCCAGCCTGGTCTACATAGCAAGTTCCAGGCCAGCTGGGGCTATAGGGAGATGGTCTCAAACAAAACAAAGCAAAACAAAAGATATTTGAGAGACTGGAGAGATGGCTCAGTGGTTAAGAGTGCTGGCTGCTTGTGCAGAGAACTCAGATTTAATTCCCAGCACCTACTAGGCAGCTAACAACTGTCAGTAACTCCAGTACCAGGGTATCCAATACCCTCTTCTGGTCTTTGTGAACACTGCACACACATGGTGCACTTAAATCCACACAAGCAAAACTCTCATATATATATATATATA